TTGGAAAAATATATTTTTTGTAAAGGTAAGTTTGGTTTCATAATATCAAAAACAGCTCAAAGATGATATTGTTTTCCTGACTGTATGCAGGTTGCTGCAAAAGTCATAGGTGAAGTTCAAGCACTGATAATTTTTCCAGTCATACCATATGCAATTCTTGCTATTTTTTTACATGTTCTGGATATCAGCTGCCCTTCATCTGTTTAGTTCCGGTCAGGATGTCAAGAACAACTGTAATACCAACTGTTGTGCTTATGATCTTGTGGCGAAAAAAGTGAATTGCGATGATTGCTGTGGCTATAGCATCCATTACACTCCTCATATTGCCATTGCCATATTCTTCCACTTGTTCGGGGGTTACTGGGCTACACAATTTTTTATAGCGTGTTCTTCAACCGTGATTGCGGGTTCTGTGCTTCTTACTATTGGGCTCGTGGTGAAATGTCGGTAAGCTACTAAGCCATTGTATTGTTTTACTGGTATGCATGCTGTTTTCATGGGAAACAAACAATTAACTTCCTACCATATTCAAAATTCTTTGGGCATAATTGTAGACAACTTCAATGCAAATCGTATGGAGTCTCTCAAATCGAGCAAAACGATATGCCATAGTTCTTAAAGTTATCGTTGTACAACTTATGCGAGACTGAAATACTAGTTTACCTATGTATATTTTCTTGTTCATACTTTTTACATACGTTGAAGTAGCATAATGATTACTTTGTATCTATTTGTAAGTATTATAGTAACGAAATTACCACATTACTTTCCGTAAATTTTTTTTGAATGAATTTATTCCAATGATTAATTCTTTGGCTGATTATTTCTATGGTTCATTCTTGCAGCCAGAGATCCCATTTCTTCCCGTATTTGCCTCTATGAAGCGGCTGATACGATACAACCTTGGGTCTGTTGCCCTTGGCTCATTGGTTGTATCCTTTGTGGAATCAATTCGTTTCATTCTTGAGTCAATTCGTCGTAAACTCAAAGTTTCTGTACATCTGATGGTTGGTTTGGAAGGATGGGAAATCATACTTCATGGGGATGTTTGAGATGTGTCGAGTGGACTATCAAATCGGTGAATCGTAATGCTTATATAATGTAATCTTCCAGAACTAGTTTGAAAAAAGTGCATTTTCCAAAAACTATATATGACCTATGCTACCAGGATTTGTTATTTTTTTGAGGTATCTGTTTGTAGTATTTATGCCGGACACATATTTGGATGCGTATGGGAGTATGATACTCCGAATATATAGAAAAACTTTGAAAATGCTGACAATATTGTGTCGAGCGCGTATTCGTATTCGATACTTATCTCTGTAACATAGTAGCGATCTCACTTTTTTCACACAATGAAGAACTTTATAATAAGTCCAACCATCACGATGCAATTAGTGGGTTTTTTCGTTTTTGCCTAACCCGAACTTAATCTTAAATCTATTGTTCTTGCAGATTGCTATAACCGGGAAAAGCTTCTTCAAGGCATCTGAAATCGCAACTGAATTGATCATGAATAACATTCTTCGGATAGGGAAGGTGAACGTGATAGGAGATGTTATTCTATTTCTCGGAAAGTTGTGTGTCAGCCTTTCAAGTGCCGTTTTCGGTTTCCTAATGCTGGATACCCACAAGTACCGAGCTGCTCATGGCAAAATATCCTCTCCATTGCTTCCGGTCCTGGTATGTTATCGTCTTATCGACTCATTATTGCAAGTCTTTATATTAAGTGAGAGGTTGAAATTTATAAATGCCATGCACCATGAGCAAGCAAACATATCAAGCTCTAATTCTCGACTGATAATGATAAATCGCTTTTCACACGATAACCAAAGTTCCTTCGATTCATCATTTTTCTCAAAGTACTTTTGTCCGACACTCGTGTTGAATGCATGTCTGAACATAGATACAGTACTAGGATATAGTCGTGTAACATAATAACTAGTGGTTAGAACCCTTGCTTACATTGTGTTGTTGCAGATATGTTGGGCTCTCGGTTACATTGTAGCAACTCTCTTCTTCGCTGTGGTGGAGATGTCGATCGACACCATCATTCTTTCGTTCTGCCAGGATTCAGAGGAGCACCAAGGCACCGCCCAATACGCACCAACGCTTCTCATTGAAACACTCGGCGACCAAAATGAGATGCAGAGACTTACTCAATGATCTTACTTTTGCTGTATGATTTTCCATAGATTTCATGAATCCTTGATATAATATAGTGTTTTCTTACATTCTCATTCTCATTACCATTTCCATTCCTGGTTTCTTGCTGCCTAAATCTTTTAAAGCCTTTCTTGTATATATGAACGACCGCCATGGCCATGAAAATTTCTTGGTCCTAGGCAATATATGTAGTTCTGTCATGTTTTAAACCGATACAAATCTGCTGGTTGATGCTTCGTTATTTAGTTCGTATGTAAGAAAGCTGTTGCAGAAGGTAGCAAAAGCGTATCAAGAATCAGTTTTGAAATATGAGTCATGTGCTTCGTAATTGACATGACATATGTCACGTATACTTAAATATTGGTGTAACATATATCATGCGTGCTTAAGCATTGACATAACATATACTATATGTACTTAGATAATGACGTTACATTAACATATAACAGGTCAACAATAAATAAATATAAAAAATATCACGAATAAACTGCTTATCATCGAAAAACTAATTGCTTTCATTAAAAATTGATAAAAGAACTTATTAATATTTAAATTATTTAAAAAAATGAATTTTATCACTATTTGTAAATATTTTAGGGTAAAGTATACAAATGGTTCCGACTAAAGGGTGATGTTTTGTTGAGTCTATCGACTATAAAAGGTTATAAAATGGTTCTTCGACTATTGGGTGTTGCAGTGTTCAATCCTCTTACCATTAAAAGTTACAAATGGTCACCTGACTATTTCGTATGTTCCGAACCCTTCCTTTTTCGCTAAGAAAATGACGGCAATCTGAGTTTGATGTTAACCTGATGATTAAGATATGATAAAATCTAATCCCATAATCTAAAAAAATTATCATATCTCAGTCAACATGTTAACATCCAGCTCGGACTGTTGTCAGTTTTCTAATGGAAAAAGATGAGTTTGGAACATGCTAAATAGTTAAGTGATCATTTTGTATCTTTTAATAGTCAAGAGACTCAACAAAGCAACATCTTATAGTCGAAGAATCATTTTATAACTTTTAATAGTCAAGGGACTCAACAAAGCATCATCCTATAGTCGATGGACTATTTGTGTACTTTACCCAATATTTTAATATATAGAACATGAAAATAATATATACCATATGAGTACATGGCTTGACGGCTTTGATTCTGGAAAGGCAGGTAAATTGCAACTCATTCAAGGTTCATGATCCCTGGATTAAAACAGCTGCTGCTCTCTTCCATTGCCACTTTTTTTATTCTATAAAAGGCAATGGAGATCTCACTTGATCAAGTGTGGAGTAATACACAAAGTTGGCAAAATGGTCTCAAATCTAAAATCTGCATGCATAATTTTCTCAGTTTTTATATCTTTGGGGTTCAGTTGGGCTACTAGGTTCCACATGGTTCAGGCCACTGATGGACCTGTTATTGTTAACCCTGAGCCCTCTATGGAGGAAGGACCAGGAGCAGGTGGTCCTGGAAACCTCACGGTCCCAAAATGTTCTCAGGGGTGTGCTCCTGGTTTCATTCTATCGGCCCAAACGATGTCGATGGTGTCAGTAACACCACCAGAGACCCCAAATGAGCTGAAGTGTGATCCAGGATGTCTCCCGGAATGTGTTTCCGGATGGAAAGATACCGACGTCGAGGACCCTGTATTCGTATGCTATCTGAGTGACAGTAAGGGACTTCAGAACACTAAACTGGAACGTGACCGCGGACGACCTACCGTTGGAACTGCCAATTCGATGAAAGAAGCCGTGAACATAGCTAGTGAACCATTAAGTACAGATCATAGTCAGCCATGAGTGGAACTGTTCTGAGTTCTATCTGATATGAACTAATAATGTTTGAGAGGTCTCATAAAAAAAATAGAGACTCCCAAGTCTTTTGGAACTTTTTTTTATTAACAGTATGTATATTTGTGTTCCCTAGATGAATAAAGAAAGAGCACAAGACACGATATGCATAAATGGGAAAGTCAAGTAGCCTATCTTTCTCTGTTTTTGACTTTTCGTATTCGAATCATGAATCGATTTTGTGACCCTTCTCATTCCAACACGGAATCAGAGAACTCCGGACCAGAACTGAATTGCCATGTCGAATCACACCGAAATTCCTTCCACAGAATCACCACAAAAATGAAAGAGCACCCTATGCTAAAGAGATCAATCAACACAAACACGAAATATAATCATATGTATAGCAGAATCTGATCAATGGAATACAGAAATAAATCAGTGACATGTACCGACCTTCAAGGAATTCCAGCTTGTTCAATCCATGAACCTCTTCTCCTCTTATCAACGTTTCACCGACGATCAGCTCTTGAAGGCAAGAAAGTCTGGAATACTCGTTATACCACAATCCGACGACGACAATGTCATTAGCATCGGACCTTTTGGCGGCGACATTTCAAAGGGATACAGAATTTCTAATTCCCAATTTACCATCAGTGAAACCTTCTCCAGATCCTTGCTCCACTCTTGTACATCTGGTGGATTTGTTAATCTCATGCCAGCTTTTACGATGAATCGAAGTTTAGCACTTGTGATGTGTAATGGCATCTCCCTTACAAGATCATGCATCTTTACAAGTCTTCCATATTTGGTTTGAGTAGAAACTTCCAACAAACAATTACTTAAGAACATGGATTACAATCAGGCATGAATCGAAAGGTGTTGGAGGAGACAATCATATTCTTTAAAAATTTCAAATTCTCATATAGTCTAGGTATTTTATTTTTATGTATACTGATGATCTAATTTTGTATCGTTTAATATTTTATAATTCTGTGTTCCTAAATTTTTAAATATTCACATCATTAACATAAAATCTTACACCGTCTCTATGTAAAGTTGAAATGCAAAATTCATGATTCATAGAGCTCATGTTTGATATGTTGAGCCATATCTCTTACAAGACCATGCATTTTAATTCTTTCATTTCCTACATTTTCTAACAAGCAATTATCAACTAGTGTTCTTACTATAGCCTGTCCCTCATCCATATCATCTATTAATCCCTTTCCAATCCAATCCCTTATGAGCTGCTCCTTTCGGATTCCTGAATCTTCACCATACGATGCACAACTCAGCAAACAATTCCGGATTCTTGGATCGTTCAAACGGTTGTAGCTGAATCTCAGTTGCCGATATATCGTGTTCTTAACATCGGTAATCCCCGGTATGTTCCGGTTCAGTTCCTCCAATGCGTTCCTCCATATAGGAGGACTGTATTCACCTCTCATGGTACTGGCAACTGTGACTATTACCAATGGCAAACCGGCACAACGATCCACAATTGATCTTGCAACCGGAAACAAATCTGCGGAGCTCATTAGGCTTCGACCGACCTTGTCCGAGAACAATGTCCACGCATCTGCTTCGGGAAGTGGTTCCACTTTTATTACTCGACAATCCATTCGTCGACATACATCCATCGATTGAGTTGTTAGCACGATTTTACTACCGTTATCTGCAGAGGGCTCAGGAATCCCAACTTTTTCCAGGGAAAAAATCTCCCGTACATCATCCAAGATTAAAGCAAATTTACCCTTGTCACTCAAGATTTCAGACAGCATCCCTGCTCGTAATGTTTCATCTTCGTCTTCCGGAATAACAACATTCATCGCCCCTGCAATCTTATCCTGCAGTTCGATAACACATTTCGTCGATACAGTGACCATACTACTATCGAACTTGATTTTATCTTTTAAGAGTTCATTGTTGACAAGCTTGACCACACTTGTTTTACCAACTCCTGGCATTCCATAAACTCCAATCTTCCGAACATCATCGTTAGTCCGAAGGTATCTCAGAATCTCATCCCTTTTAAGTCCTATCGTTTCAACGACTAAACTCGATGCCGGCAACATGCAACCAATCTGTGAACAATCATAGACAACCAATGCATCGGAAAATCCACCCCTTCCAATCAATTCATCAACTTCTTGTCCCTTCTTGCAAACATCCTTCACAAGAAATCCACGGGAGAAAAAGCCGCTGGCTCCGACTTTGGATTCGAGGTTCGATATTTCTCTGTCTATCCTATTGACATTTTCAAGCCACAGCTCGACTTCTTTCTTGACTTCCTTTCTAGGACGCAGCTCCGCTCTGATTCTCAACGTCGTATCGTCTTTCTGACCATTCAATTGATCTCTTTTTCTCTTCAGATTATTCACACTCCGATCAATGCCTCTAGGTGGTTTCCAGTGGTCTCCAATTAAACCCCATATAGTGTTCCCAACCTCAAAAATACTCCCTACTTGCTCAGCTAATTCCCTGCATTAACACCAATACCTGGCATAAGAATGTTTTGCCATAACAACTGTGTTTTACTTTTCTTTTCTTTTTTCTCTGAAATATTCGTGTTTTATATATGTATTTGACACATTCAGACATGAGTACGAAGATATGTCCTTCATATATATATATATATATACATAATCTTGATGAGAGATGAGATTGCATGGTTTTTGACGGTTTACTCTTTTGATTTGGACAGAGAGCCGCGACAGTTGGTCAATGAAAGGGAAAGAGAATAGACGATATAAAGAGATGATGAACAGTAAGAAAGATCCGGAGAGAAAGAGTCATTTCTCTAGCCTTGAGTGCATGTGTTATTAGTATTGATGTTAAACTAGGGTAATGATTCGTAGGTTGATAAGATAAATAAATCTCGTCATCGGACAGTAACTTCAGATCACATAGGTTAGTGGTAATTTCAAAGGCCGTAGTTGAACGGAAGATATGTAATTCCGAAATATTCGAAGAACTCAGAGCAGAGGTGTGGTTTGAAGAGGAAATCCAAAGGAAATACAACAATGGAAGAAATAAACAAAGGAAATCCAAATGAACTTCACAAGAACTTTTCTAAGTATGTAATTTGGAAACATTACTTATGAATTCAACACCAAATTCTGCAAAACAACTCTATCAAGAAAATCCATAATTTTCAACATTCAAACTCAAAGCTTCCACTTACATGAAACCTTTTATTGCTGAGCCCATCTCGAGAAAATGAACCGATTTTGGATAGAAATACAGATGAGTGCCCGTTCCTTGAGATGATATCCAGCAACAAAACGGGAAGTACTCATCAATTTTAGGATATAACAAGTGATTGTAACAACAAATGATGAACATCTAAGGAAAGATAAGAGGGCAATAACAGAGAAATATTTGATGAACAAGCCTGGATTTTCTCAGGATTTATATGAAATAAAAAAAAAAGGAACAGAGAATTGGGAATTAAAGTTACCTGATAACTCTGTTTGGCTGTGAAGAAAAAAGGACCATGAAAAGGGATTAAAGATTTTCTGGGAAGGGAAAGCCGGAGGAAAAGCTAGGTAGAAAGAAGGTGCCAGTTTACTTCGTGGAAACATCCATGGCCACAAAAAAAAAAAGATTAAACAAAGTGTGGGTGTTGATTCAACTTGTTTGTGGTTGATTCTTTTTATGTTTGTACGACCTTGGAGCACGTGCAGAGTCAAAGGTCAACTATTTTTTGTTTCTGTCTCGTCTTGTAGCATGACAAAGTAGTTCAATACAATCCTACACTGTCGATCATAACATAAATTTAATTCATGCTTTAAAAATTAATATTACAATTATTAATTCACTGAGTAATAGCTTCATGTTGTATCTAGCAAGGCATTCGTATATTGGATAGATAACGGTTATACCATCTCCGTACATCAAGACCTCTGCAGATTTAGAACACCTTCGTAGATGAGGCCCAAGAAGAACATCTTCGGACATAAGATATTAGGATCTCTAGAACCTTGCACCTCTCAAGAAGTCAAAACCTTTGGTAGCCTGACAGGTCTCACATGTTCTACCAGAATCAATTGATAACTGATCACATGAATCGGATTAATCTATCCTATCAGTCTATAAATAACCATCATTACCCTACACCTAATACTAATATTAGGGGTCACCGTAAAACCTCTCAATCTAGATGAGAGAAGGATCTAAATCCCTTTTCTTCACTCATTCCTCTTCTACCTTCTTATGGAGATAAAGGACTTTGATACTAGCCAACGACCACCTGTGGACATACTACGCCTCTCCGCTCAAACCAGAAAGATGAACTGCCTATAGCTACCATAACTCATTTATTCCAATCATCAATAACAATGGAGTATGAGAAATATAGAGCAAAGTTAAGCTTGAATTACACTAAATTACTTTCAAGATAAGTCTAAACACTATCCGGTAACTACAAAATTCAAGTTTGCTAGTTTACAAAAATGTACTATTTCGGCGAATTCGTTTCAGCTTGAACATTCTCGTCGAGTAACAAACTGAACTTAAGAATCTTGTGAAGTCGAGCAACCGGTTTTACTTGCTTTCTTGGAGCTTGATTTGGATCTATTATGCATTTTCCTGAAAAGAGATTTGCCTCTGATGGACCCGTCTCTTCATACACTACAGGTGGAGCATCTGCAAATAATATAACACCCAAATTCTTAGTTCATGCAAAGCAAAATGTTTGAGAAACAGAATTTAAACCAAAGGGGCAGCCTATGTTAAACACGGGTTCCAGTGTTGGACATAGATATGCTTAATTTTTCTTCTTCATGTATATGGAAGGTCCTTGAAAGATCATATCTCCATACTCATTGGAATATTTGTCGAATATAGATATCAAACATGTATACTTCAAGAAAAAAAAATGAAATCCTAAGCTAATTTTACTCAAACTATGATATCAGTGTCAGATACAGATATGTACTCGTTACATGTATGTTTGATTTTCTAAGTTTTTCCATGTATTTTAAAGGTCCTTGGGGAATCATATTCCTATACCTAGGTCCTTGATGGGTAGGACAATGGTTCTTCAAGAAAAATGAAGAGTTGAAGTAATAGAGATCAGAGTAATGAACTATGTTTCAGACTCTTCATATTTTCTAAACCATATAAACATTACGTGTATGCACAAACATGTCAAAATCTATATAACATGAATTATTGACACAAAAAAGGGGGAAAAATATGTGGCAAGAATGCATGAATTTTCAAGTTAACTTGCAATTCTCCTCTGCATAAGATAAGAAGATGATAAAGAAGAGCGAATAGGAGAAAATTAAGCAACTCAGAGAAAGTATATCAGGAAACATTACTCACCATCTTCGGAGAAAACAAAGCAAGTCCCAATTGTTTCTTCATATTCTCCAATCTGTAAATTGGAAAAAAGCCAAAATAGAAATAATAGCTTAGGCCAATCATCGACCACTGCCTCCCAATTAAAGTTCTCCGTTGTCCAGACTTGGGCATGAATGTTGGATACAAATATGCATACAGTTATCCAAACTTGAATGACACTGATATGGAAGATGTCTATAGATAATATTTTCCAATCAATTGATGGCTTCCTGAATTCTTTACATCAGTCTCATGCAGTAACTGATGCATTGATATATCATTTAGAATTTCTAGCTGTAAGCAACAATAAAAAAATGACAGATCCAAGTTGTATAGTAAAAATAGTCATCGACGTAAATAAACTTTTAAAAATATGAACAACCTGGAACTTTTCTCAAGGTAAATACTAGATTTTATGTTACTCGAACTTTCCATTTGCTTAATGTATATGTAAGATGTTCGGACATTGGTGAGGCATGATCCTCCAGATATATATATATATATATAAAATCAAGAAAATTTGGTATATTCATGTCACACACATCCAAATCCGACATTGACCTTGTGTCTAAATAACATAGCAAGATTTTGCAAGTTTAACAACTCACCAGCTTCACCTTTCCATCTATGATTAATATTGGGTTCATCGTATCCAGACCCTGAAATTCATAACAATCTGATCAAATAAAAAAGTTTAAAAAAATCACATCTAGTTCAAAACTGACAACAAATACTGGAAAATCAAGCAAGCAAATATTCCCAGACAAGAAATATCACTAAACAGAACATAAGAAGCTTACAACAAGACATTGAAACCAAACCAAACCCAAATTCAATTATGGCATAGCTTCAATCAAAGAACAAAAAATATAAGCAGGGTAATTCTTATTAGGACCGATCATATTGGACATGACACGAGAAAATAACTAAAACACAATACGAGTACACAAATATAAATGTATATAATACCAATATATACATATATATAAACAAATAACACCATAAACACCAAATACGTGGATTGCCAAGTCTAATCTTTATTAAATCCAGCAATTAGCACAAAGCAAACCATATGTAGATAATGTTCTTCTATACTTAAAGGAAGTACATGAATTGCTAGTAGTAACATATAACTAGATGAAGATCACTATAGACAGATGAAAAATCTCTGCTCCAAGAGAAGGTACAACCTTGAAAGTTGGCCAGTGAAACTAAAATTCAGTATATGAAAGCTCTGGTTTAATGAATTAACAAATATAAATGAATACCAAGAAACAAAACCCAAAGGCAAAGCTTTCTTCTCAGATTCTTCGTTTTACTTAAAATATCATTATCAGTCATATGCATTTAAGACTTGACTTCCTCGTAAATTCCTAAATACTCATCCAGTTATAAATTTTAATTTCACACAACTGAGTAAAACTTAACAGATTTGTAACGTAAAAGAAGAGTTCTAGAACTTACAGAGAGAGTGTAGGGTGCATTTGGAGGGATGTAAATCTGCGAAGAAACAGCATCAAGATCAAGTAATACATACTCTGAATCTTCTTCTCCCTCCTCATAACCATCACCTTTCTCAATTTTTTCCATTTAATCAAACCCAGGAAAAAAACCCAGAATCCTTTTCACTGCACAATGAGAAAACCCCTAATCTCAAAATCTAGATAACTAATGCAGACAGGAAAAAAAAACAAGAGGAAAAAACTGATAATAGAATGAATAGTCAACCCTGAAGAAAACATAAATAGATAGAAGGAAATAAAAATGAATACCGGTTGAAGTCGAGTAGAGATAGAACCAGGCCGTTGAAGAAGAAGAAGATCTCGATTTCTTTCTAGAGAGAAAGATGGATACTCAGTGGCGCCTCGAAGTGTTATTTCTAACTTGGCTTTAGTTCGATTTTGTAAATTCAATTTCATACATAGATATTTTGTAAATTCAATTTCATACATATATATTTTTTTGTAAATTCAATATATTATCTGTATAGATATTTTTTGTTATTTAAATATATTATCTGTACTTACTTTTTAGTTCGATTTTGTAAATTCAATTTCATACATAGATATATTTTTTTTCAATTAAGAACTTCAATTTGAATTTTTTTTAGAGTACTATTTTTATTAAATATATATTTAAATTATTAAAAAAATATTAAAAAAGAAGAAGATAAATTTGATGAAAATGATTACACAACGAAGACGACATCGTTGGAGAAGACAACGGCAATGAATACGAAGACATATTCTTCGAATCCATCATACCCCCTGGCGGTGAAGCTGAAAATGGACGACACATGAGGGTCGGTCTAGTTCGAATCCACAAGTGTTATGATTTGTATCTCCTGTGACTGCTCGTGCATGCTTGTTGCACAAGATTAGCATAGCTTTTCTTCTAACAAAGACCAATCCGTTGAACTTTCTCTTGGCTTATTCTCAAGTAGATATCATAGCTCAGACTACCATCTTGCCTTTGGTGATCAATCTCAAATGTCATCCTCTTCCTTAAGGACACAAGTTGTAAATAGTCATAGTTCACAGTTCCTGAACCAGGTTTGGTACTGTTTATATAATCCTCCCTGCAGTTTCAATTCTACTATTTTCTCTACTTTGATCAGTTTTGCTTTTATACTTGTGCTGCAAACTTGTTATTCCCTGTTACGTTTTCATGAAGAGAAGTGAAAACCATCTTTAAGGGATTATCATCTACTATGATCTACTTAACTACTCCTGTATCTGTTTAATCCATGCAATAGAGCTGAAGTTTCATCTTTAGCGATTCCGAGATGAGCCGAGGGTTATGCATTTCAGAAATGACGAACTTAAAAGGATAATGCAGATGCAACTGCAAACACATGATTCTGTTTTTGTATTTTAACCAATCCGTTGATGTAACATCGTACAAAATTAAAACTTGCAGATAAAGTAACTAACCAAAACTCATCGGTTCGCATTAGATACGACACAAGCTTAGTGAAAAATAATTCTTTTGGGTTTGTAGAAAAATGAATATTGAGATATCATTCCCTCCACATATCTGCAAATTCATCAGGCTCCAAGGGATTAGATTGCTCATGCATCTTCCGCCTTGTCTTAGCCTTGACTTTCTTAGCATACTTCCCAGCTTTCTTCCTTTTCTCCAATGCTCGGATCTGAAAGATAACCAGTGTCAAATTATTAAAATCTGTAGAGAAATACAAGCCCTAGGCTCTAATCCCATGCCGGCCTTCCGTTTAACACATATTAGGACAGAGGTATCATAGGATAATCCTCTTACCTGGTTTGGTGAGACATAGAAAGGATTCTCGTATAGTGTTGGACCTCCGAAGCTACCAGCAAATATCTTGATCGGATTCAAACAAAATCTGGGACCAACCTATAAGAGCCAGTATCTAGCATTAAATTACTAGAAAATCATAATACATATAAATATGAACATAAAAAAGCCAATATCACTCCGTACCTCAACAAGGGTCATTTTATCGAGTCCACCTCGGACCATTTTGTCTGATTCATTGTGAGGAACAGATATCTGCATTAGGAAACAGTAGTTTTAAGAGAAACTCAGAAAGAATACCTCTTACTACTATTAAGAATTTAATCCATGTTCCAAGCTTGTGCCATATATGTAGTATGGTTCTGACCTGATAATTGCGGAACCATATGTGGTCATCAACAATGGAGAAAACAAAGACGTGATCATGATAAGGCTTAGATTTCCTGTGCTCCTTCGGAGTTCCAAATATCTGCCAGAAAACAATACAAAGGAAAGTGTCATGGAACACTCGCATCTACACCCCGCAGTGTGTATTTAAGTAAAAAATCCACAGAATCAGGAAAAATCTCAACACTTCAGTGCACATAAAGATGTTATAACTTTATCTCAATGGCTTGATAGAAAACAAAAGAGAATCATCTTAAAAAGCTGTAATATCAAACAACATTCATATTGTTTCAAGAGTCAAAAAGCAGAAGCATACATGGGGGACATGCAAGATCAGAGGAACAGTCGGTGTAAAATTGTATAAACACATCTAAAGTTTTCATATCACAAATTATCTGCGAGAATAAGCGTTGCTACATGTTGAAAGATGTTGGAGAAAACTCAAATTAGCTCATTCAAAGAGCAGGAAGTACATGTTTTATTTATATGTGAGAAATACAAACAGAAAAAGAGCATTTTCTGAAAAGAGGAAAACCGCCACAAGATACCTGCATGATCATCTCCTTCAGAAGCTTCCAATGAGCATCTTTTTCAAAATTGCTAGAGAAAGTCAACAAAGGGCGTGAACCTTTCAAATGATTTCCAGTGAGCTTCAGTTCTTCCATTGTGTGAACTGAAACAAACAAAACGACCTTCATTAAGCCACAAGAAACAAGCAAAACATCATACCTCGATATGAACTAAACAACATCAAGAAATCATAATAATGAATTTTAAGAGATTCAAAGAGAAACATTACCAGCATTAACCAAAAATTTCACGGATGGACCATTGGGACACCTTGCCATCCACATGTAAAGATCTCGATTTTTCCTACACTGGAAAAGTGTATAAACATAGAACATTTTGAGCACTAAATTCTAAAGTGAAGCAAGGTAAAACCACCTTAATTTTAGCATTAACAAAAATTTAAGTAACTACCATGCTCAAAGAGTTAAATTCAACCCATATTTACATAATTCTATACACCTTTAGTTAATCAAACTTTGGAAGCTCATCAAGCACCATATTAATCATTGAAAGTGCACAAATAAGCAACAAAGCTTAATTATTTACCTCGAAAAACAGAGCAGAAGAACAACCCCTCAACTCAATAAGCTCATTCAAGGTAGACCCTTTACTACTCTTTGATTCAACCTTGTTATCTTTCTTACAATGAGGCAAAAGTGAAACCAAATTCAACATCAAATGCCTATACCTGTAAAACTCAAAACCATAAACAACGAAAACTTTAAACCCAAATCAGAAACAAAGCAACCAAACATTAATGCAAAGGAAAAATAACATATTTTTTCTTCTTCTTCGAACCAACCTGTAATTGATGCGGCGTGAACAAGTCACCATAACTTTCTCTTTGTTTCTAAAAACTTGGGGATTAGACTCGAGATTAGAGTCGGTTTGTTTCTGAACTTCTTCCTTGTCTTTCCAACCCATGAGCGTCCTTTTTGGTCTCTCGGGTGCCCCTTCACCTTGCTTTTTTGGTTCACCTGCCTGGGTTTCGCTGTGCTTCCGTTTCTTCCCCATTGGTTTTTGGCAAAGATGGAATTCAAAGTGAAGTTCTTTTTCTTGGTTTTTGGCTGCTGGAACAGAGGAAAACGAAGAATTTGGCTTTGATAAACCCTAGTTAAAACCTGAATCTTGGGCTTGGTTGGTAATTTATGGAGATGGGTTGCTAGGGTTTTGTAAAGGGTTGGAGCTAGATGGGCCTGAATATGGTCTTTCTTTATTTTTCTTTATCATATTTTGATTAGGGTTAATGGACTTTTAGGCCCCTGATTTTGACTTGCATATGCAATTAGGCCATTGATTTTGGCTTTGATATGCAATTTTGCCCCTGAACGTTTCTGGATGTAATTTGACCCTTAAATTTACTTTGATATGCAATATGACATTTGACTATTTTTTTGTATAGTTTTAAAATCATAATTAATTTTTTATTTCTAAATTAAAACTTATCTAAATTGTTAAATTTTATATTTAAAATTTTAACTTGATAATAATTTAAATATTTTTCTTTATAAGAAATTAAAGGCAGAAGGATAACTTTTTGGACCTGTAGTAGACCCAATTTATTATTTTCGCTCCTATTGCATTTTCGCATCAATTTAGCTCTCAAAGCTACTCAATTGCATCATTCTATACATCACCCTCACTTAAAACCCTAAATTAAGGGTTTTAAGTTAGAGATTAAGGTTTAGGGTTTATGATTTAGAGGTTATATGGTAATGGTTTAGGGTTTATGATTATCAATCTAGGGTTTTAAGTTAGGGGTAGGGTATAGAATGATGCAATTAAACAACTTTGAGTGCTAAATTGATACGAAAATGATAAATTGGGTTTATTACATGAGGGGTGAGCAAAACTCGACTCGAAAAATTGATTTTTTTTCAATTTCGAGTTGTTCAACTCCACTCGAATTATCAATTCGGTTTTCGAGTTCAAGTCGAGTTGAAATTTCAAAATTTTGAGCAACTCGAAAAACCAAAAATTTGGATGAGTATTTTTGACAGATTTACGATTTGGTTTCTGATTTCCTATTCCTTTAATTCCTCCTTCATTTTAAGTCAAATTTTTACCAAATTTGAACAACATGCTCTTAAATCATCATATAATACATATGTACTTTCAATTCCAATTTAATAATAATTTTTTATTTTTTCAATTTAGTCCCTTAATTTTGTTTGATTTCCGTATTGCTTCAATTCATCGTTCATTTTAAGTACATTTTTGACCAAATTTAAACCACATGCCCCTACCAATATAGAATACCCATGTAACTTCAATTCTTATTTTTTTCTAAAAATATATTCTCTTTTTTAATGTAGTCCTTTAACTTTGTATTTTACTCAATTTAGTCTTTTGACTAGAATTGTTTACAAATTCTTTCTTCACATCAATTCTTTGACTCCTTTATACTCCCATTAATCTTTTATCCTCAAAATACCTTCTTTGAAATATAATATTGCAAATATATTTTATAATTTTAGATTGTATTTTATATATTAAATAACATTGTAATGTGAAAAGAATATGAATATATATATATATATATATATATATATATATATATATATATATGATTAGATAAAGTCAAAAAATTGGAATAGATTCATACTATAGTACTATAAATAATTACAATTAAATTTGTATAGAAACTCGAACAACTCGACTCCAATAACTCCACTTGAATATCTTAGACTCAACTTGACTCGAAAATATTTCAAGTCAACTCCGAGTTATAAAATAGACTCGTCAACTCGAATAACTCGAAATTTTTTACTCGACTCGATCAAATGCTCACCCCTAACTACAGAGATAAAAGTTACCCATTTGCCAAATTTAAATATTTAATTAAGATTAAATTTATATTTCAAAAAGTCGGGAGCCAAATTTCAGTTCAAAGCTAAATTGATGGGCCAAATTATAACAAAAATGAGTTAGTGCCAAGTTGTAGAATAAAGTCGAAGTTTGAGGCCAAAATGTACATTAACCCTTTTAATCATTATTTTATTTTGTTAAAATAATTTTCGAAAAATATTTATTTTTAGAAGATATTGATTTTCTGGAAAACTATGTTATTTTCTGATGTTCAGATAAAATACTTTTCTTTGTTTGATATTTAAAATATATATATATATATATATATATATATATATATATTTTAAATAATTTATTTTTAGTGAAACAAACACTCTAAGGATTGAGCTGTAACAGCATAAAACATGATTAATTTTCCTTCATTCCATGATTTTTCTTCTCCGAGGACAAAACCGTGACAATATTCAGTTCCGACGCTAGGTAATATGACGATACTCACCTCCGACGTCGCGTAATACTTTATTGATGGCACATTCAAATCAACAGCATCAGCTACCTAACTTCAATACCAAAGGTGTATGTAAAGATTAACCGAAAAATGCAGGCAAAAGGTTATCAATTTACTTCAACCCTCAACAAGTTCGGAAACACAGCCAAAACATCATAAACAGTCATGGTGCACGTTATATGAATTCAAGCATCAAAGCTTGAAACATAATGGCCACAGTGAACCAGCACCGTTCTACGACTTATCATCGCTGCTGGTTATCAAGCCCTGCATGCATTGCAAGCATCTAGTCTATTTCATGTGAACTCTTCGGAGTTCAGATACAACATATTCTCCTTCCATTCAGTTAAAACATTACCCCGAACCCGAGGCTTAGTTCGGTGGCTCACGCAATCACCTTTACAAGGCGGTAGCTTCTACAATCCCTCCAACCTACAGTCTTCTCTGTACCAAAAGAAAGGAGAAGAAAAACAACCAAATATCGGGTTTCCTCTTTAATTAATATGTTAAAAGTGCTTTAAAGAGGCTGTTCAAGATTGGCAAGACCATATGTGCAGTTCAAATGGATGTCTATACGAAAACTGCCTAAGGGTGACTCGGTACACCCGGGAGTCTATTCTAACTAAAAGTGCAAAACAAAAATGCAGTTCAAGACGGAGAAAAAAGAGTATACGGAAGTTCTTCTCATTAACAAAAGGGCAGAAATGCTCCAACGGCCCATATATTTGCATGGTTCCTTGGGGTCCTGCAAGAATTCAGAAAGAAAAAAAAAAGTGTCACTGAAATAATGAAGTGAAGATAGCATTGCAGGAATTAGCATTTGGAAATAAACATAACGTGTTGGTTTACAACTAACACGAAATCACAAGCACAATGGCCCCTTGCCATGAAACAAAGGGATTATAATTTTGGTCTTCAAAGAATAGAAATGCCAGAGTTTGTATATACGATTATGCTTACATGTGCCATGCGAGTTCATAAGAGCGTCTATGAGAGAAAAGCATTTCAACTTAAGCAGACAGGCAAATTGATCTTTAAGAGTGCATTATAGATCGATTGCAGACTTTAATATATGTAATAGAAGGTACATATCAAGCAGATATTGTAACACCCCAATTTAGGGGCTAAATTTTAGAAATTTTAAAGTATTGGATTTAATTTGTAATTTGGAAGAAAACAGAGGATTGAATTATAAAATTTCAAAGTTGACAGACCGTTTTAAAAAGTGCAGGATGTTTAGTGACTACACTCATGGTTTGCCCATTTTTATTTATGAGAAAATATAAACCCCTTCCCGTGCGCAGGTTCTGAATAATTTCTAGTTTTCTCTTCTCTAACAACATTCATTTCAATTCCGATCTACTCGTCGTCCGACCTCCGATCGACGAACCGAAACCACCATCGTGTTCGTTATTGACCGAGGAACAAAACCCCTCAAACCTTTCGTCGTGAATCATCGCCGTTCGTCGTTAATTTCAGTCGGAAGTATCGTCGGTAATAACTCGATTTCAGTTGGTTTTTCGTCGATTCACGACGATCGGGTCATCCGTTTATGACACCTCCCGCACCATCGTATTCCTTGCATCGTTCCGAGTCCACCGGTGTTCTCCGTTTCTCCGTCGTCGCCAGCGCGTGGACGGGTGAGACCGTCAAAGTTTCCGACGTTTCGGAATCGAGCTCTCTGCCGCTCAAAATTGTGAACCGAGCTTTGTAAGTGTCTCAAAATCGCTTAAAATAATTTTTAGGAATTTTTTCCGAGAATTTTCCGACACTGGGTTACTGTTCACGCACCGCACGCGCCACCCCCCGAGATGGGCATCGTCTGGGTGATAAAGTTGTAATTAATTTATGTTTTGGGTGCTATTTGTGTAAAATCCGGGTGTTAGTTTTGTAAATATTTGCAGAATGTGGCTAATTTGGTAATTAATTTCCGTTAGAGTGATATTTGTGTAAAATAGTCGACTGTTGAGCGGCGACCGGCGTTGACCACAGTTGACCAGAACTTTTACCGGCTTTGACCGGGCATTAAACGACCTTTGACTTCGACCGAGTATACCTATCCTGACGTTTTTCGACGTTCCAAATCTGATTCTGTAGTCTGTTTTTTGAAATTCGGACCGAAGGCCTCGAAATTACGAGTCAAACCCATTGACTTTGATTTTGATCGAAAATTCCAAATTTTGGAAAAGTCGTATTTTATGCTTTCGACGTCTTGAATCCGAATTCGAAGTCTGTTTCGCCAAATTCGAACCCGGTAAGCTGTTTTCACTGATTTATCATCCGATTTTATCCGTTTTTCAGAATTAAGCTCCGTTTTTTATGTAATTTCTATTGATATGGATCTGAGGAAATATTGGAAGTTGATTTCAAGATCAAGGGCGTTTGAATGGAATTTAATGGTCGATCAGTATTGCACGGAAATCGAGATAATACTTTACTAACTCTTTATGCTTTATGGAACAAGTTGATATTGGTAAATGCATGAATAAGATAATGTTGGTCACTTTTGTGGAGTTGATTAATTTATACACTTGATATGAATGTGGTAGAAATTCGGTAACTGAATACGAATCGAATGACTAATATAATAGATTGAGAGATTGTTAGAATTAAATTACAAGTTTGTGATTAGTGATAAAGAAATCAGCTATGGATTTGTAACTTATATTTTATATCATTAAAGGTTAAATGTTAAAGGTACTTGGATGAGAAATTATGAGAATACTCTGGTAGGGTAAAATTACGAAAATACCCTTATGTAGTAGGATGACAATTGTCTATGGAAGTTGGTTAATAACTCTGAAAAGACATATTGATCCGATATAATTACAGATGTGCATAAGAAATGATAGTTTTGTTTAGAAAATTTGGATAACTGATTTTTAACACCAACAAGGGTTTGCGAAAGATGCTAGAAGTTTGTTAAGGAATAATTTCAAGATCAGAGAATATTCGAGAAAGCAATTAACCATAGAATCTTTAAATTATAATTATTTTCGTTAAGAGCTAATATCGAAATTATCTGGTTAAGAGTTGACACTGAATGAGAAAGTACTTTGAGGATTTATACTTAACTCGATTAAGTACGAATTTGATTGTTAAGATCATGACTTAGTACAGAAAACTCTTGATATTCCGTTGGTAAAAAGCTGAGAAAGCACTTGACTCGAAAATATCCGAGTTACGAATAAATACCTGAAGAACAATTTATCGGGTGCTCTTTTATCAGAATTGTTCAAAGGGACTGAAATAGATGATAAATTGGAATTAAATAATAAGATAGGATGGAAGGAAATGATTGAAATACATCGGATCTATAGAATGACCAGAATACTCCTGTAATGGAAATAACCCAAGAATATCACCAAGCTCAGGAATGATTGGATATCCTCGAGCTCTGAAATGAATGAAATAAAACTGATCACCAAAATTACCAAAATAACCTTATGACCTAAACTAAGTAAATGTCTTGGATTAATTAAGGAATCCAAATAAGTATAGGTGTTGGACTATCTTTAAAAGTAATGGAACACAATTTAAGTGAGTAGATCGACCCTAAAGTTATGTCAATACCTGAATGACATAGATATTACTTGAATGCATATTCATCTTCTCAAGTTTGGCTCGATGATAAATTTTGGAAGTATTCAGCTCAGCTAAACTATAGATCGCATTCATTACTAAGAATTGGACGTTTGTTCGACAAATCAACCACGAAGACCAAATTGAATGGAACGAAAGTACAACATGTATATGAAATTTAGAAACATTTGAATTACTCTGGAAAATCCCGAAGTAACTGGAATGGACATGACTGCTAAATGAACTAGGTAACCTCGATGACTGAGGATTTAGTAAGTGATTTGGATAAGTCTGGAAACTCTGATGAGTTTACATAGTGTACAATTACAATGGGTTATGAACAAAATAATCAAGTACGCCAGCATTACATGATATTGTGGAAGCGTGAAAATGAAATAAATACATTGGAAGATCTATTCAGCGATGATTCTGAAAATGATCTATGGATAAGAATTTGTGGTATTAAAGAGTAAATACCCTGGAAGAACAATGAATTGAACAATCGACAAGCATTAGTTCTGGGAACTATTCATCTAAGAGTTGTCCGATAATCCGATTAATTGACATAGAATGTAAATGTCCTGAACCTTCATTTCTTCCTTATCAGCTCAAATCACATTCTGAATAATTGATGATTCTGTCAGTTATTGAACTCTCCCAATAGTGATTCTGAATTCCGATATTCTATCGGTATACTGAAGATCCGTGTTCCTCTACCTGTTAAGATTATCCAATATCTTTGAATAATATCTGTAAATTCTGGTGTGTTCCCTACTCACATGAATATTTTATCTGATTTTCGATTTGAATTATGATCTGAACTTGACATGGATTCAGATATGATATCTGACATGGATTCTGATATGATACTTGACTTGGATTCTGATTTGATACTTGACCTAGATTTTGATATGATACTTGACATGAATTATGTTTTGATTTTTGATATATCCGTTTACGGACGGAACATGTTTTATTTGGGGGGTAATGTTGGAGGAAGTATACCTGGAGGCTCCTCGGCTGTGTGCTCAGGGCCTTACTGGACTTGACGGTGGGTGTATGGTTCTGGGGAACCTACACATTTTAGACTTGATGGATGGGCGTAGTGTTCATGTTTTTTGTAAAACATTTTACAAAAACCGATTTTACTGAAATATTTTATCTGTATCTTTTCACTGGTTTTACGGGAACACACTAGATAACCTATTCTGATATCCTTAACCTAGACATCCGAAATATTTCCATCTGAACTGAATATTATCTGTTACTACCTGAAATATCAATGGGACCTCAACTCAGCCAAAGAAATCTGTAAATATCTGAACCAATAAGGAAATATATATTTATCTGTATCTGCACGTTCATCAGCATCATCTGGTAGTTCTGTATTACTGAGCTTTCCAAAGCTCACTCTGTTACTTATCTTTTCAGGCTAAAAGAATTGTACCAGTGCAGCTATCGACTTCAGTAAGGGAGTTCTTCCGGTACTGTTTGCAGAGTACGGTACATGTGATTTGTGGGCATGTAATTGTATTTTGTTTTATATACGAGTCTGAAAATCTGTTTTATTTTGAATATTGATAACTTTTATTTTGTACTCATAAATGATTTTATGAGTTTACAAGTTTTAAGAAAAGTTTTAAATTTTCCGCTATTTTTACAGTAGATCGCTCCGGTGGCCCTAATGTGACACTCCAGATCGAATCGGGTTACCCGCATCGGTCTAAGGAGGTACAGATATGATCAAAAGGATTCACATGAAAAAATAAAAAAAAATTCCCTATAACTTCTGAATAAGAAGTTAGAATAAGCAGATCCAACGATTTGAGTTGTCGTTGTTTCCACAAATGTATCCTAGCGCATTCTTACAATTTCCCGACATGGGATTAGGGGTGTTAATTTACAGTAGCACTCATCAAGGTATTTGTGCAATTAAGCTAACATAAGGAGAGTTATGCCTATACAAGTCCATATAAACTACAAAAATTAGACAGCTGTGAAAATAACAGGTGAACGTGATCACCAGTCCCATGTCGCTTCACTCTCTTCCATCAGTACCACTCTTAGTTATGCACTTACTAGTCCATAAGGAGTTTTTTAAAACCAAGTAACCACTTGAATCTATAGCATAATCGCTAAAACTGCTGACATCGACCCCTTTGTCGAGCAACGCCAGGCTCTCAACGTAATTACTGACAGATGGAAGAGAATCCCCGACCTTAACTCCGTGAGGCTCAATTAGCTGACAGTTCAAATCGTGTAAAGCGATCTCTCCCTATCCACTTGCAATATAACTTCCCCATTGTTCCGAAACGCCAATCTTGGCGGCGGATACCATCCCCTAAACGTAGGGAATGCAAACACCTTAGCCCATGACTCAACCACACCGTACTCCTTCATCACCCAGCATTCAATCAACGTAACATCTATCATGTTATGCACTGCAATGGAAGATTCCCCATAGTTCATGATTGACAAATCATCGTAACACAAACCAATTAAGCTCTCAGGCAAACTTATCTCAAAAAACTCCTCAGCACTCACACCAAACCCCAAAATCATATTACTGAACGACCATCGTTTCTCTTCTGATATCCTAACCAATGAACAGCCCCGTTAACGAAAGTCGATAAGACATTAGCTTCATAATTAGGAGCAATGGCAGCAACCCTTCTCCAACAATTTTCATTCAGGGAAAACAAACAAGGTTGAATCAAATTATCATCATAGTCAACCCCAAAAATAAGTAGTTTGTAATCATTGGTTCCAGAATAAAAGCCAAACCCAAATTTTAAACGGACATAGACAAAGCTAGGAAGGGGCAAAGAAACGTACTTTTGAATCGAAGGGTTCCAGAAAACAAAATTCATAACACCACGGTAACATGTCCAAAGACAAATCAACCCATTGCAAGAACCAGCATACATAAAATTCGACACACGCAGAAAGACATGGAATTGAAACTGCTTGAACTCATCAAACCCATCATTATCATAGTGTGAAGAATAGTTTGCTTCGCTGTTTTTGAAGCCCCTGATGAGTAGTAAGGGAGTGTTGTTGGGTGGTATCGAAAGGGAAGCTTGGCAATGAGTTGAAACGAACGATGGGTCGCAAATGACTGTTCCAAGTTTTGCAAACTGACCTGTATTTCTCCAGGGACTCTACCGGGAGCCTTTTGAGGATATCGATGATCACTTCAACAGGCAAATAATCAGACATCTTTTCTTTTGTTGTTCCGTTTGATTTTGTTCCTTTTTAATGAATTTTAGAGGAGATAACAGCAAAGAACCGAGTAAGAATTGCTTTATTTTAATGATCGCCAGATAAGATTTTAAGGATATTAACCAATCGAAAAATAACGTTGGTGATAATGGGTAAAGAGGCCTTACTCATTTTCGCCGAGGTGCTATTTAATATTATATAATATATAAAATTTTGAAAACATATACAATATATAATTTTTGAAAATATTTATATAATATATAATTTTTGAAAATATTTATATAATATATAATTTTTGAAAACATTTTGAAAAAATATATATATAATATATAGTTTTTAAAAACATTTTGAAAAAATATATATAACATATAATTTTTGAAAACATTTTGAAAATATATATATTATATAGTTTTTAAAAAATATTTATATATTATATATTATTTTCATTATTTATTTATTTATTTTCTTTCTTTTTGTTATTTGGTCTGAACAAGGAGTTCAAGTTCAAGTCCAATAAGGAACCCAACCGGGTGGCAGGCCTGACCCAGCAAACCAACTCAGCCAAGAGTCCAGCAAATCGACTTGACCCAAGTTCGCCTGACTCGGTGAATTAGGGTTGCTAATTCAAGTAAAAGAGTCGCACATTCCCAGCCGTAGGATCAAGCATCGATCGAACGACCCAAATCGCATATCAACTAGGGTTGGTGAAATCCTAAGAACATTACCACACCGTTGCATCTTGAGCCGGATTTACAGCCAATCCAATGGCTCAGAACAGAGGTCAATGATATGGGTTTCTAATAACCCTAATCCGTACGGCCGCATAGCAAGATTCAACTCCACAACCCTCGGTTTTTCGGCTGGATCGGAAGAGATTATCCCATAGTAGGAAACTAATTTCGAATAATCAAGCCAACAACCCAAATCTTAGAGGACTCTAAACCGAATGGAAAATAAGGGACTCTTAATGTTATAAATCCATGCAAAAATCAAAGAAAAAAACAAGTGAGATCGAAGGCAAAAAGACTTGTAAACTTTGAAAAGAAAAGAAATAAAAAGGTACTTCCTTTACCTTTCTCGGTTTACTTGCATGTTGGTATTAGGTTTGTTTTTTTGACTCAAAATACAAAAAAAAAGAGACAAAGCCGATGATCGGGGGAGGGTTTTCGAGAAGTCTTTCTCATATCTAGCCCTCCCCGAGGCTTTTTTTGCGAAAACAAAGTGGATTTTCGAGGAGAGTGGATCAAGGGCTTTCGAAAGGTATAAGTTTTTTTCGAGTTTCACCTCCGATGAACGATGGTCGGCGAGGCGGTGCACGGTCGAAATCTGGGTTACCATGAATTCCGGTTGAATGTTCTTCGTTGGCTGAAGAACATTTTAGAGAAAATAAATGGGTTTCTTTTGATCGGTTTTGAAAGAAATGAGAAAATGAATTTTGTTTGTAAAATTTGGGCTTTATAGCTGACCCGAAACCCTACCGTTTCACCCTAGGATCCACACATTTTTATTCAGGTAAGGTTCAATTGCAACACTGGTCCTTCTGATCTTTGTGGAAACCCATTTTGTGCTTTTATTTAGTTTTAATTATAATTTTCATTTTAAATTCACCACTTACTTTAATCTTTTTTTAATTCGATCCTTTTTTTTAATTCAATTCACGTTTTTCACTTAATTGTTTTTTTAGGTTATTATATTTTATGAGTTTTTGATCCAACATTTTTATTTATTTCTTTTATTTTTATTTTTATTCATTTTATTTTCTTTGTTTTAATTTAATTATTTTTCACCTTTGTTTGTTATTAATCTTACAATTGACATTGTAATTCAATTAACTTTTTCTTTATCTTCTTCATTATTTTGTGTTTTTAATATATGCGATCCTTTCTTTTATTTGGCATTAAATTGTTCTATTATTTTTTTTGTATCTCATTATGTTAATTTTATGTCCATTTATTTTTCAGCATGTATGTACCTATGTATCTCTTTTCCTTACTTTATTTAAAGTATTATAATTTAATTTTTGTTAATTATTCCTTTTGAATCACTTCATATTTTATTTTATAATCTAACATCTTTATGACCTTTTTAGGGGCACTTTAAATCAATTAAATGTGAGTAGTTTGGATCAAATTTTTACTTTTTAATTCAACTTATAATTTTCTTAATTAAGACAACTGAAAATTAAATTAGTACCAAAAGGGCAGTACAATGGTGCTAATCCTTCATTGACTGTAATCGACTCCCGAATCCGATATATTTCTAGTAAAACGCAAATCAAGTAAGATGGTGTCCAATCAACCTAAATATTTTTTTAAATGATCGGTGACGGCTCTAACTCATTTATTTATATCAAAGCTCAATTTTGACCCACCCGAAAGATGACTGCGATAAAAACAAAAGAAGATAGAAAACTATGAATTTCTTCTTCCACCATACCTTCCCAACAAAAAGAGAATTGTAAAGAGCTGAACCCTTCTCCCTTAAATCTGCAGGTATACTTGCCCAAATAGAATCCTTTCCATCTACTGCTATCTGAAATTAAACAAAGCAATATAACATCAAAACTTAACCATGAACTTGACAGGGAAAATAACAAAGAACGAACGAATGAAAATTAAAAAGATGCATTCAATATGAGTGAACTCCACTGGTATAGACTCCTTAACTTCTTTATGTTTTGTGCAAAAGGAAATACTAGGTACCTTTAAGGCTTTCTTGACATTACCCTCTATAGCTCCATGAGGCTTTCTTTGTGGAATCCTTAGCAGTAGGAAAGGTCTTCCAAAGAAGCCTATACGAAAAATGAAAGATGGTAAAAAAAAAAGGGTGATCAGCATCTAAACATACCAAATGTGTGGATTCAGTTATCAGTTTAAAACCTGTATAGCCTTCATGTTCGTATTTGCTGGGATTGCGCTTCTTAAAGCATGCTCCGCGGTCCTCGGAAGCTTTGTTTCAGGAGAGTAAAGCACAGCATTTGCGGGCAAAATAGACCAGAAGTCCCAACCATCTTAAATAATAATAATAAAAAGCCACGTTATACATAAATAATAAAATAATTCAGAGTGATCAAAACATAAATAATTCGAAAGTTTAGTGAGTAAATTAGAAAAACTGAAAGTACATTGAGTAAAATAGGAGAGAGAATATAGTTCGGTGAGAAATGATATATTTTACCCTTAAAGAATACAAAAATAAGTGCCTAAACTCTATTTCGAAAAATGTTTTAGTGCGACTAAAGAATTATTCGTTAAGAAGAATTGCATAACATTTTCTTTGTTATCATTTTAGGTAGCCGAGTGTTAACCACGTTAAAAATTATGGTAATTTTGAAATTTGTTATTTAAATATTTTTATCAGATCTTAAAAAAAAATTCAAAAATTTTAAAACCTTAATTTAATTCCTTTGCCACTGTCGTCCACCACCAATGCCATTAATTGACTGAACACTCAACGACGTGTGACCTGTTAACCACCCATGACGAAAACCCCTATACTTTCGCAACCGATCGAACACCAAATCCTCATAAATTTATAAATTCTCAAATATAAGGGATTTAAAACCCTAAAACAAAATCTTTCATTTACACTATTTTTGGGTGTTCGATCGGTTGTGAAAATATAGGGATTTTCATCGTGGTTGGTCGGTCGGTCACACATCGTTGGGTGTTCGGCCAATTGACAACGTTGGCGGTGGCCGGCGATGACAAATGGATTAAAATTAAGGTTTTAAAAGTTATGAGTGTTTTTAAGACTTGAAAAAAAAATAGTTTTTTTTTTAAATATTCTTTTATTTTTTATTTTAAATAAAAATTCTCAAAATTACCAAAAATTTTAACGGCGTTTAACGCCCGAATACCTAAAATAATAACAGAAAAAACTTTATGCACTAAAACGTTTTTCGAAACATAATTTTGAACACTTATTTTTTTATTAAGCATTTATTTTATAAAGTGAAATTTGTTTTCAATAAAACAAACAAATCATAAATTTTAATGAATGACATGATTGTTTATTAAACTAATATATTTATGTTTTAATTAGACTAATATTTTAAATTAATTCAAGTTTTATTTTATATCTACCTGTAAATAGATATATTTGAATTCATTATTTTTCACACTAATTTTCACAAATTCTAATACATATATGCTAGAATAGGGAGAGGAAATTTCTTGAAAAATATTCGAAAGAAAAGGCTGCGAGAATGCATTGGAGAAAATATTCGAAATTTCTTTATCAAAAGTTGTTTAGGGAGGAAATTACTGTGCTACTTTTTTGAATTGGAGATGATTTTCACATGATCCTGTCCTCAGCTTCTGCGTTGGATGTACAGTGTAAAGTAGTATGTGTAAGTTTCTAAGAAACAACCAAATGTAAAGCTTAATTGACATAAATTCCAACCCTCTCTAATCAAATCCAAGCGAACACCAATGTGTTTTCATCTTCTTCCTCCTCTTCTTCTATGGTGAAAGCGACGAGGTTAGATGTGTTTCTTATCAGCAAGCAAGCAACTTCTCTCCGAACAAGTTAGTTCAAAGTAAAAACAGGTATTTATTGCATTTCGCGCTTTTGTATATTTTCTTACAAAGTTCATAAGCTCAAAATAGGTAAATACTTTATGATGAAAATGATAAGATGTTTTCATTTCATAAAAAATATATATTTGAAATAAACTGTCATCCTTGTTAAAAAAAAATAAAATGTTTAACATTATTGATGAAAATAAGTTGGTGATTCACATCTTTTAATTTAGACGGAGAATCATGGTCGTCGATCAATTTTTGGAGGAGGAAGAGTCTGTACTATCATAAGAAGGGAGAAAGAGGACTGGTCGATTACAAACTATCCATCCTCTTTTTCAGTCTCAATTAGGACATTTATAATGAAATTTAGTGCACATGTCAACAGTAGGGCTATGATAATTATTTGTAGGTCAACATAATTAGGTAGATTTGATAGTCGAATTTTAGGTCTCGTTCTGGCTAGGGATGGTCATAGATAGGGTTTCTAGTCAACCCGACCCGACCATAAAAATATACATCCTCCACTCGACTCGAACTTGACCCCATTTTTTGAGATAAATCCGAATCTGACCTGACTTGAAATAATATATTTATTGAAAAATATTATATTTATTCAATAAAAATAGTGATTTAATTGAAAAATAATAAATAGAGGGTATTATTATAATTATTCCTAAATATATAAGGTAAAATTATATTTGTTCGGGTCGGGACGAAACCCGTCGGGTTCAGGTCCTATGTCCTTCCTTAGTTCTAACGCATCATGTGATCCTATAAGAGGTATTGTCTATGTAAAATAGTTTACTAAAGGGCTTGTGTTCGGGGTGTCGAAACGATTTTTTTCCAAAAAGAATGAGATTTTGAAAACCGCGTCATTTTTAATTTTCCTCTTAACTGATTGATTTTAATTAAAAATAATACGATTTTAGGAAACCTTTCCTTTCGAAAAATTTAAGATTCCTTTTTAAAATAAAACTTGCTGTTCAAAGAATCGTCACCAATCCTTGATTAGGGTGTGATTGGGAACCCAAAAAATGTTTTTGCCATTTGAAATAAAAATTAATTTTAATTAAAACGACAAATTGAAGTCTGCGTTACCAGAAAATGAGTTCAGGAGTCAGTTACGTGCGAGGAAGGATTAGCACCCCCACAACGCCCTAAAATCGGTACCTAGTCGATTAATTAATATCTTTGCAACGAATTTCACAAGTTCAAATTTAACTTGATTTATGATCCCATAAGATAACAAAAATGCAAATTTTATAACATTCAAAAACAACAAAATAGATTTAATTAAAATTACCAAGCCATTAGAAAGATAAATAATATTCGATTATTTAAAAATAACGAGACCAGATCTTTAGGTGAGTTCTAACAACCTTTTCTCAAAAAAAATTTAAATAGTCGAATATTTCATTTTCTTTCGTTCCCAAATTTTACGATGATGAATCGATTTTTGGTGACACTGATGGGATACGTTTTTAATTTAAAATCGTCAAAACGACTCTCTAGTGAGTTAAGAGAAGCCATTCCGATAGTTTTAAATTAAAAATGTATTACTCTTAATCCAATTATGTGATTAGATTAAATCATGCAAATGAGGCTAACATGCTTAAAAAAATTACACCTAAACAAGTATGTACTAACAACATGCTCGAAATAATATATACATGCATACACTCGAAACAAATCTAAATTAACCTTACAAAAATGCAAAAAATATTAAACAAAGGGCTAAATTATAAAGAAAGTAAACAATAGGCTCCTTTCATAAAAAAATCATTTCTAGGTACTCTAAACACAATACAACCAAAGTACTACATAGGATCAAAATGAAAGTTTATCAAATTACACATCTAAAATAAAACAATCACAAAAAAATAGTCCTAACATGATACATGACTAAAATGAAATACATAAAACGTTAAAGTTCTAAGTCAAAATCCAGTGAAGTTCGGTTACAGGACCAACACGAAATGAACCAAAGATACAAGGGCCTAAATAGTTATTACCCCTTTTTCCTAAAATACAGATCCCCAGCTATCAAAACGTCGCCGTTTCACGCTTCTGTGAAACTACGCCGTTTTGACATGGTAATATATGGCATATTAGGGTAAATATTAAGCCCTAACTTCATTCTCTCCTCAGCCCTAACAAACCAAAGCCCGTTGTTCTCCCTCTCCCTCAACCTTAAACACAATCGTGTTCTCTATCGCCTAGAGCTCCGATGAGGAGTCCCCCACATACGCGAACCCACCTTGTGAATAAACTTGAACCCCAAACTTAGAATCTCTCACGATAGAAACCCAAAATCTAAAGGTAAAATAATAATAAAAAACCTTACTTTCCATGGCTTTAGGCTCCCTCAAATCCAAATTTACTATGGTAGGTTGTTTACCTTCGTGAAAGGAGGCGACCTTGCTCATATGGAAAAGGTTTTGGAGCTACCGAGGGTAAGAATCCTTTCTTTTTCTATCTTGGATGCTCTCGGCTTTTTTGGTGACTCGATGCTTTTTACCTTTTGTTTTGGGTTGTGAATGGCTCCTGGTTGTTGATGGGTTCTTGCTCTTTTTTTAGTATTTTGTTTCAATTCCCACTGATGACTCTCGTTTGCTCTGATTATCTCTCGATGATATTTTATTGTTGTTTTTCTGGTTCGTAATCGCCTCCACCTTGTTTGTGTTTTCCTTTTTGCTTATAATTGCTCCCTGATCCCAGTTTCTGATGGTTGCTTATTATTTTTCTGTTGTTCACATCCCTTGCATTCTCGAGAAACAAAAACAAATTCCTCCTAGGTATGGGCTCGAGCATGACGAATATGGGCGGCAGCAATGGCCTAGGTGGGTGGTCGACAAGCATGGTCTTTCTCAGTGAGTTTGCGCACTGTTTTGGAGTTCCAGATGGATCTACGCACGCTGGCTCGGTATTCTGGGTGAACTGGAACCGTTGGATCGTGAAGTTGGATCCAACGGTCCTACTATTGCGGCACTGGGAGCTGATGACAGAAAACCCTAACGGGCTACAATATTGGGCTTCAACCTCCAAATCGGGCTGCTCTATCCTGGGCTGAATCTTATAGTCCTTTTGTAATTAGGACTGTAGTTTGGACCTGTAACATAAACGTTTATTTAGTGCATATCATATATATATATTTAATCACTTAGTTACTTGATTATATATATATATATATATATATATATATATATATTAATAACCAAACGATAATAAACCCAAATCAACTTCAAAAAAGACCCCGGACAAATCGAGCATCTACAGCTACCCCTCTTTGCTCATTATCATGCAACAAGAATATAACAAAGATCAATAGATGATCAAATTTGTTCGACCATAAGAATATTGACCGATTAATTCGCTCTACTCTTCCTCCAGGGTGAGTGAGACTTGATAAATCTTCGGAAAACGGGTTTGTTCTCTATCGTTTCAGGGAGTAGAACTCAAACAATCTTCAGAAAACGGGTTTGATCTCTATCGTTTCAGGGAGTAGAACTCGAATAATCTTCTGCCTATGGGTTTGCTCTCTGTTTCTTTAGGGAGTAGAACTCGAACAATCTTCTGCCTACGGGTTCGCTCTCTCGTTCTTCAGGGAGTAGAACTCGAACAATCTTCTACCTACGGGTTCGCTCTCTCTTTCTTCAGGGAGTAGAACTCGAACAATCTTCTGCCTACGGGTTCGCTCTCTCTTTCTTAATGGAGTAGAAATCGAACAATCTTCTTCTTACGGGTTCACTCTTTTTTTTTCAAGGAGTATAACTCGAACAATCTTCTGCCTACGGGTTCGCTCTCTCTTTCTTCAGGGAGTAGAACTCAAACAATCTTCTTCCTACGGGTTCGTTCTCTCTTTCTTCAGGGAGTAGAACTCGAACAATCTTCTGTCTACGGGTTCGCTCTCTCTTTCTTCAGGGAGTAGAAATCGAACAATCTTCTTTCTACGGGTTCACTATCTCTTTCTTTAGGGAGTATAACTCGAACAATCTTCTCCCTACGGGTTCGCTCTCTCTTTCTTCAGGGAGTAGAACTCGAACAATCTTCTTCCTACGGGTTCGCTCTTTTTTTTTTCAGGGAGTAGAACTCAAACAATCTTCTGCCTACGGGTTCGCTCTCTCTTTCTTCAGGGAGTAGAACTCGAACAATCTTCTGCCTACGGGTTCGCTCTCTCTTTCTTCAGGGAGTAGAACTCGAACAATCTTCTGCCTACGGGTTCGCTCTCTCTTTCTTCAGGGAGTAAAACTCTAACAATCTTCTTCCTACGGGTTCGCTCTCTCTTTCTTCAGGGAGTAGACTCGAACAATCTTCTACCTACGGGTTCTCTCTCTCTTTCTTCAGGGAGTAGGAACTCGATCAATCTTCTTTTGCTTCACTACTTCCTTGTGAAGGCTTCTAGATGATTTGCTTCACTACTCTTTCGTGAAGGCTTAATTTTGATTTGCTTCGAAGGTTGAACCTGAAAATCAAATATCATCAATCATTAATGTATGCTTGAAAATATTATACTCAAAAATTCTGAGTTCGAGAAAATTTCTGAAAATTCATCTTCATCACGAAAACTTGTCTGAAAACCCTTAGATACTTGAATCTACTCTGGCGCAATCGTCGTCATCATTCTTTTCAGGATCACAAAACTAGTTATCTTCATCTTCATGCTTTAATATTTTCAATCTTCAACTATCATTGGGAAACCTGTAGACATTTAAGTCATCATGCAATGCTATGATCCTATTCATGCCTAAGATGTATGCAATTATGCAACTTAATGTATTTTCTTCTTCGAAGGAACACCATCTCCTCTGATTTCGATGAAACTTAGTTTCGTCTTGGGCATAGAACATTTGACCAGTTCACCCCAGTTAACAATCTCAACACCATATCTTTTGGCTTAACGAGACTTTGACTTCTTTCTTTCTTGAAACCGGTCAGTACCCATGACCAACTTCATGTTAAAACCAAATTCGACTTCAGAATACCTGCATTTTTCAAAACCTTTTACATAATAATACAAAATGATCTCATGTACCATAATATAAGCTTTATGTTTTAACTTTTTCAAAATTAGACGCTTGTAAAAGGGACATTGAAAAGGAAAAATATCTCTTTATTTATATAAACACAGAGAATTTTTAGGCAACTACATGACAAACTTTAATTGAAAAAAACAAAAGGATAGGCGTATTCAAATATCAATAATGCAAATGCTCTTGAACTGGCACGCCGTTAGAATGACTCGAGTGTAGCTTCTGTCAAAAGGATCTCTAAAATTCTGATGATGCCTAAGAGTGTGAAGCTTTTTCTAAACTCCCAAATCTCCCATTATTGGATGCCCTAAACTAGTATTGAATCTCATATGCATTCAACTTCTCCACTGGTTATTTCCATCGAGACTCATTAATCTTTGGTCTCAATCCTAATCACCAACTGCCATTGCTGTTACCCATGACAGGAGCTCTTTCTACTTCCAAAAACAATTTAGATCCTCCACCATGCACGAATTCTGAATTTAAAACTCAAGCCGCCCTTTGTGGGGTTTCAACTCAAGACCTCCTTTGGTTTCAAGACGCCTTTTTCAAGTTTTTATCTTGAACCCTCATTTTTATTCAACTTTTATTCTTCATTTTTTCTTTTCTTTTTCATTTTTTCTTCATTTTTTCTTTTTTCATTTTTTTTTCTCTTTTTTCATTTTTTTATCTTCAAGCAAAATTCCTCTTAACTGCATCGAAATTCACTGAATAGGGTAATTCTGACCCATCCATCTCAGTTAAGACTAGAGCTCCCCCAGAAAAGGCTTTCTTGATAACATAGGGTCCATCCCAATTGGGCATCTATTTCCCTCGAAATCCGTTTGAATAGGTAATATCCTCCTAAGCACCAGATCTCCTTCGTGGAATTCTCGACGGTGAACTTTCTTACCGTGCGCTCGTATCATCCGCTTCTGGTACATATGACCATGACAAATAGCTTTCAACCTCTTTTATTCAATCAAATTCAATTGGTAGAATATGGTATGTACCCATTCTGCCTCATTTAGCTTCACCTCTGACAAAACCCGAAGTGAGAGAATTTCCACTTCAATAGGGAGGACAACTTTCATGCCATAAACTAAAGAAAACGAAGTTGCCCCACTTGACGTCCGTACTAAAAGTTCGATAGGAAAACAAAGCAAACGACAACTTCTCATGCCAATATTTATAAGTCTCTGTCATTTTCTCTATAAGCCTCTTAATGTTCTTATTAGCCGCTTCCACTGCCCCATTCATCTTTGGGCGATAAACAATGGAATTATGATGCTTTATAATTGCTCACAAATAGAGTCCATCATCTTGTTGTTTAAGTTCAATGCATTGTCAAATATAATCCTCTCCGGTAAGTCATATCTACAGATGATTTTCTTCTTCAAGAACTTACATACCATTGATTGGGTAACATTTGCATAGGAAGCTACTTCTACCCATTTGGTGAAGTAATATATTGCTACCAGAATGAAACGATGGCTATTTGACGCTTTTGGTGAAATTTGTCCAATAACATCCATGCCCCACATAGAAAACGACCACGGAGCTGTCATCACATGCAACAGATAAGGAGGGGTGTGTATTCTATCTCCATAAATCTGACACTTGTGACATTTTCGGGCATAATTGATGCAGTCAGTTTCTATAGTTGACCAATACTACCCAAATCTTATAATATGTCTTGCCATTACATGCCCATTAGCATGGGTACTGCATATTCCTTCGTGTACTTCTTTAAGAATTATTTTGGCTTCTTTAGTGTCCACGCACCTTAATAAGATCTGATTCATGCTTTTTTTATATAGGGTCTCACCATTGAGCACATACCCCGCTGCCAATCTTCTAATGGTTCTCTTGTCATTCTCAGTTGCCTGTTCAAGATAACTTTGATACCTTATATATTGCAAGAAATCATATTACCAAGGTCTTTCATCTTCTTCTTCTTCCACGTGGGCTGGATACTCATAAGCCTTTTATATCAATAGGCATCATATTTGCAAGCTCGTTCATCTTAAAGGTTGCTACCAGAGTAGCCAAGGCATCCGTCATTTGATTTTATTCTTTGGGGAGGTAATGAAAAGTCACTTCTTCAAATTCTTCAATAAGTTCCAAGACTAATTTACGGTATTCCACCAGTTTGGGATCTTTTGCTTCCCATTCTCTTCTGAGTTGGTAAATTACCAAAACTGAGTCCCCATATACTTTCAACATTTTTACTTTGAGTTCAATAGCCGCTCCAAGACCCATAACAAAAGCCTCATACTCAGCCATATTGTTTGTACAATCAAAATTAAGTCGAATGGTAAAAGGATAATGCTCTTCATCTGGTGAGACCAAGATTACCCCAATCTCATACCCTATGGCGTTTGAAGAACCATGAAAGTTTATCTTCCAGTATTTACTAGTGGATACAATTGTTTCTTCCACTGATATAGCCATTAAATTCTCATCTGGAAAATCAAAGTTTAACGGTTCATATTCTTCAGAAGCCCTACTTGCATTGAATTCTGCTATGGCGCTCTATCTAACCGCCTTCTGGCTTACATACTAGATATCAAATTCAGACAACAAGATTTTCCAATGGGCTAATCTTCTGGATAATGCAAGTACATCCATTAGATACTTCAAAGGGTCGAGCTTGGATATGAGCCAAGTAGTATGATACAAACATATACTGCCTAAGCCTTCTGGTAGCCCATACTAAAGCGCAACATAGTTTTTCAATTGGTGAGTATCTGGTCTCGTATTCAGTGAACTTCTTACTGAGGTAATAGATAACCCTCTCCTTATTCTCATTCTGATCATATTGTCCCAATACACACCCCATTTAATTGTCATAAACTGACAAGTAAAGAATTAAAGGTTTGCCTGAGATGAGTGGTTCCAAAATTAGAGTATTCGACAAATATCTCTTTACTGTCTCAAATGCCTCTTGACAATCTTCACTCTATTCTCCTAAATTGTTCTTACAAAGAAGGCGAAATATGGGTGACACTTCTTAGTCAACTGTGGGATGAATCGAGCTATATAATTCAACTTCCCCAAAAATCCTCGAACCTCTTTATGTGTTCTTAGGGGGTGGAAAATCTTGAATGGCTTTTACTTTATCTTGATCTATTTCAATTCCTTTTGGGCTCACTA